ACCTTGAGGGAGCCGGGACCTGAGGGAAGGATGGGAGTCACAGCCCGGGGAATGCCGCCCTCAGGGAGCCGGAGCTGGAGCTGAGGGAGGCATGGGTCTCACAGCACAGGGAATGCCGCTCTCAGCTCTGAGGGAGCCGGGAGCTGAGGGAGGGATGGGGCGGGATAGGTCTCACAGCACCGGGAATGCCACCCTCAGCCCTGAGGGAGGGATGGAGCGGAATGGGGCTCACAGCCCGGGGAATGTCGCTGTCATCCCTCAGGGAGCCGGGAACTGGGGGAGAGATGGGGTCGCATAGGGCCCTCAGAGAGCCGGAGTTGAGGGAGAAATGCCGCTCTCATCCCTCAGGGAGCCGGGAACTGAGGGAGGGATGGAGCGGCATGGGGCTCATAGCCCAGAGAATCTCACAGCCCGAGGAATGCCGCCATCCTCCCTCAGCGAGCTGAAGGATGGAGGGTGCGGGCTGGGGCTCACAACCCGGGGGTTCCCGCCCTCAGTCCTGAGGGAGCCGGGAGCTGAGGGAAGGGTAGTGTGGGATGGGGCTCACAGCCCGGGGAATGCCGCTCTCATCCCTCAGGGAGCCGGGAACGGAGGGAGGGATAGTGCGGGATGGGGCTCACAGCCCGGGGGTTCCCGCCCTCAGCCCTGAGAGAGCCGGGAACTGACGGAGGGATGGAGCGGGATGGGGTTCATAACGCAGGGAATGCCGCCCTGAGGGAGGAATGGTTTGACTCCTCGCCCGGCAGCCCCAGACTTTCCCTTTTATAAATCTCGGTGTGGCGCCTTGCAGCTTTTCCCTCCTTAGCTCAGGACCTGCTGTGTGCCATCCCACCTGTCCTTGGTAGGTTTTGGAGGTTTGGTTTTTGCAGAACCCGTTGCAAAAAAGGGGTGGAAGCAGCAGCTTTGTCACAGGTGAGCTTAGACAGGATTGACTTACAGGAAAAGAACACATACAAGGTATATTTTTTGTAACAGCCTGAGCTTCCCATGTGTCTGAGAGGCTCAGCTTCTATGACCATTGTAAAGCAGTAGCCTTTATCCTCACTAAAAATAAGGTTTGAGTTGAAAAATAGTTTATACCTATTAGGATGAGCTTAACCACTGTACTGCTATAAGAAACTCCTGGGTTTTTTTTTTCTTTTTATTTTATATTTCTGAATAGCTATTTAAGTTATAACAGAACACAAATGTAATGTGGTTTAGATGCAAAGCACATACTTGAACCTACAAAGTGAATTCATTTTGTATTGTGTTCACAGTAAAACACAGCAGCTCAAACAAGAGCTCTGACTGAAAGGAAAATGCCCACCTAATACCTAAACCCCATAATTTTTATGGCATATCTTTGGTTGAGTGTGAAAAGCCAGGGTTAAAAGCGCTGCTGTGTAAAGAAAATGATCCAAGAAATGTTCCCCTGCACCAGCAAGGTGTAAGAAACAGGTGGGAGCTCTTGAGGTTGTTTTCCATTTTCAAACACCTGCACCTATATCAGGAGCTCGTTGCAAGTGAAACACATCCTCATGGTGAGACATCAAAACCCAGCATTTGGGCAGTTGTCAAAATGGAGAAATAAGGAAATCATGACTCTATTATCTTTCTACCATTTTTAGCAGTTGCTTTGGATTTTGTTTCTTTGCTGGATTTATGCACCTTTGAAACAGATAACTGAGAAGAGGGTTTGGAAGTGGATGATTTTTGCCTTTTTATATTCAATTTCTAGTAGGCAGAGAGGAAAGCAGTTTTTGTATAAAGGTAGGGAAATGCACACCTAGGTCATACACAGGGAAAAGGTCTCTCTAGTGATAGTCTGGATACATCTGGACTTATATCACCTCTAAAATTACCCAAACACACCCCAAAAATCACTGTGAACTCTGACCCTGCTCTTCAATTATACCCAGCAAGGATGGCAGCAGTGCCAAATCCTGGGTATTTAGCACTAGTGCAAAGTTACAGCTGGAATCCATAAAGAGCCAAGGTTTTAAAGGAGCTGCTGAGGGAGGTTTGGGCTGTGGCTGGTCACCTCCTGTTACCCCAGGTTAGGGATCATTCAGGATTTGTTGTGGTGTCCCAGGCAGTTCCTGGTTTCTCCTGGGTGTGTACAGTCAGTGGCATGGCTGCCTCTGAGGATATTGTGTAAATTTGGGTGCTGGCAGGTGTCATTTCTCTGCTGCTCAGCTGGGCTTTGGGCTTGGCTTTGCCTCAGCATGTCACAGAGGACCTGAGAGGAAAACACAGAGGGATTGTGCACTGCTACCAGCAGTTACCACGTGCTGCTCAGAGGTGCCCTAGGGCTGGGAGCAGCATGCTCCAGGATTTGGAAGGAAATTTGGGAAGTTAGAACTGGTGCTGTCCCAGTTACACCTGGCTCTGCTTGGCAAAAGCAGCTCCTGCAGTGCTAAGGATCCTTTGGAGTCAGTTTGTGCCCTTGTGTGAGCTAAGTTCGGAGCTGCTGCGGTCAGCGGGTGCCTCACCAACAGTTTTGGTCTGGCAGGGTTCCTCCCTGGGGCTGGGTTTCAGGGCTGACAAAAGGGCTCATCAGCCCTCAGGGACAGACTGGATTATACTGGATTTGAAATGGGTTGCGTGGCTGATTTAAGGGGGTTTTGTTATCCACTTTTGTTGTCCTCAGCTGCCTCCTCCTGTGTCCAGTGTGAACTCCCTGGCCATGGTTGGGTTCCATCCAAGGCCTGGTGTGGAGGTGGCACCAGCTGGGGACTGACCCAGAGCAGGCTCTGAGTTTGGGACTTGCCATGGCAGGGTGAAGGCTGAGCTTGCAGCCAGGGCACCCAAGGAACAAATGTGTCATTGGGTCATGTTTAAAGCCAGCACTCCCTGAAGCCTTTGGGATTTGTCTTAAGAGCTGAGTTTAGACTGGGAGTTTCCTGCACTTTATATTGCTCTCAGTACCATCTTATAATTTCTGGCTATTCTGACCTTTTCCAGCATCTCCAAGAAGCAATGACACAATACAAACCCCACAATAAACACCCTCACACAAAATCCAAGGGTTGTAACAGAGTCTTTAAATGTAGTTTCTTGAAAAAAAAAAGAAAAAAAATTGGGTGTTTAGTACTCTGTTCTTCAAACAGAGCCTGGACCTAATTTTGACTATAGAAACTGCATTTTCTGGCTTGGTGTGAAGGTAGCTTTGGGAAGAAGAGAGGTTTTTAGTTAGAGCTGCACTGAGGACAGAGCTCAGTCCTCTGGGGATGTTTGTTGCTGACACAACGTTCCTGAAATGGAGGTTAATCTTCCAGGGGTGTTTTTTGCTTCTCCCTGGAGATAGCTCACCGAGAACCCTCGAGGCAGCAGTGATGACAGCAGGAGTGATTGCCACAACCAGGGTGACATCAGTTAACCCCATGGCCTTAGATAAGTTATTAAGGACCATTCCCTAATCATGCCCTGATAAGAGTGAGTAGCTTCTAAAGATTGAATAAATACACTACCCAAGTCTTCCCAGCATGAAGTTTTTTGCACAAGTAAATTTTAGTTTTTCAGAGAAGAAATCTCCACATAGAGAATATTCATTTCTTCTATCTGGAGTTTCGTGCCAGAGGTTTTGGCTCGTGGTGCCTGAGGCTGAGCCCTGCAGGAGCTGCCAGCCCTGCCTGCATGGCTGCCTCCCCCTCCTGGAGAAGGCAATGAATGAGGGATTCTGGATTTTAGGGATTTTCTTGGGATTCTTTTACTTGATTTCTTCTGAGGTTTTTTGTTTCCTTCCTGCTCTGGACTATGTATAGTGAAGAGTTTTTGTCCCGTTCATCCTACTCCCTCCATTTCTTGTTAATATCTTCTGAGTGTTTTTTCTCCCTTATGTTCCTTTTAAAAATCTAATTTGCCATCCATGGATGAAAAGGCTGCTCCCACAGTTTTTTCAGTAAGGGATCTAGGAAAAATGAGGACATATGCTGTGGGATTGTGTCAGGAAATGCCTGCAGTGCCATACAAGAATTACCTTATTGCATGCTTTGTAGGTAACATCACCCAGCACAGAAGGGTGAGGGCTCTGCAGCAGCACAGAACACAGAGCTGCCCTGTGCTTTGGGAGGGAACAAAAACTCTCTATCAGTAGTGATTTTGTTCTGCTAAGACATCAGTGCAAACATTGCTATTTATTCTTCCTCTAAGTGCAATGAATGTGATCTAATCTCTGCTTCTAAATCTACAATAGTTAAAATCTTACTGCACTTGCAGACTGATTTTCCAGTTTTTCCAGGCAGTAATTCCCTCCTTGCTCTTACAGAAAAAAAAGACATTTTTCCTTATCAGTGGCAACCTGGCAGAGAAGTTGCTGGTCATAAGGCTACAAAAGGAATGAGAGGCAGGGACAGACAAGCTGCTGAGTAGGTTTGTGGGGCTGGGGCTGTTGCTGCTGTTCATTCTCAGCATTCTTTCCCCTCACACAGGAGTAGGTGAGGACACACAGGAGCACACGGGTAGTGTAAATCAGTGACCCTTGTCTGCAGGGTGAGGCTGAAGCTCTTTGGTGAAAGAATGAGTATTCCTTGTGGGAATCCCTGGGGAGATGATTCCCTCCTCTCCCTCTAGGTGCCAGCAGAGCACAAGCCTTGCTGCGAGGCGTTGCCTCCTGGGTGTATTTCAGAACAGTGTTAATTTGTAATGCTGCTTGATTACTTTTTAGAGAGGTTGGGATTAACGGATTGCCCTGTTCAGAACAAACTCTGCATCCTTTGGACAGCTGATGAAAAGAAAAAGCACCGGAGTTTAAACATGTTCTTTGATGAATCTGTTTCTGCAAATACGAAACATGTTCTCACCTGTGATGTCTGTCTCTGTATTTCACAGGTAAAGAACCAACCAGAGGCTTCTTGGCAATCAACATCTGAGTCCTCAGAGGCGTCCTGGTTTGTAACTCCACACAATGCTTTGTTCCAGAGATCCCTGGGGAGGAGCATGGCTGTTCCAGGGCCGTGCTTGCTGAGGGAGCATCGTGGTTGAACTTGTGCATCCTGCCAGGAGGAGGCTGATGGAGCCTGGGATGTGCCGTGAGCTCCCTGCCTTGGGCTGTGCCACCTCCCAGCTGGCCATTTAATGCCTCTCACCCTCTGGCCTGGGACAACTGAGAAGTGGGATCTCTTCTGGTGCTGAATGGGTCAGGCTGAAGCACCTTGTCCTGCTGCTCTGGGCTTCCCCACATGCCTGCTGGCAGGGCTCTCAGGGCCTGCTCCTCTCATGGCACTCATTGCACCAAAAGCAAGGTGTGCCTCTCTGCTCCCTCACAGCCAGCAAGAGTTCTGGCCCTTAAAGAGCTTTTTATTCCTGTATGGAGAGCATCAGCTCCATTTCCCAGAGTGTTTCTGCTGGCAGAGACTGAGACTGTGGCTGGTTTGCAAGTGCTCTTAGAGATGGAGCATCGAGCACCTCTGCCCTGACAATTAAGGGATGCACCCACAGGCACTGTGGGCTGTTGGGGACTCTCTTTGCTTGGACTCGGTTTTTGGAAAGAAGACAAACACAAGTGAATGGAGAAGGACCTGAGAAAGAAAAGACACAGAGAAAGCCACACAAGCTGTTCAAAAACTGAATTTCAATGCTCTCTGCACTTCCCCCAAGTGGTCTTCCTGTCAGAGAAACAGAACAGGTGGAACTGCGTAACAGTAAGTGAAGTTTTAGTTATATTTTTTTATATGTTGGCTTTTGATAGCTATTAAAAATTGTTTCAGAGATGTTTGGGTATTCCAGCCATGCTGCCAAAGGTTGATGATTTGAAGCTGGAGGTACAAACAGGGTTTGCTGTTGGGTGCAATCGGGAAAAGGGGGAGGAACAAATGGGCGGAGCAAGGCTGGGCTGCTCCCCAACGTGGCTTTATCGGGAAACTTTCCGTGGTTGCTTTGCTTCCCTCACTGCCCCAGTCCCGAGCAGCTCTCTGAGAGCTCCTTCCACTGGAAAGAGTTCAGTTGGTCATTACTAAAGTGAATCCTGGTGAAAATACAAAGTAGTAGCAAAAAAAAAAAAAAAAAAATTTGCAATTGAAGCACTGATACTTCTCATAGGTGTTGATAAGTACAAATCCCATTTTTAACCCTGCTGCTACATCTCATACATTCCCCTTCCCACTTGTGGAAGGGTTGAGTGGCACTCAGAGAGAGGCACTGCCCTGGCTGGGGCATCTGTGCTTCAGGATGGCTCATCAGCTCCGGTGGAATTGGGCTGCTTAAGCTGGAACAAGTGGGGATTGTGAGAGCAGAACTTGTAGATTTGTGTGGCTCCCTTAAAGAATGGGAGGGTCTGATGTGATCCCTTGGCTGTGAAATTCAGGAGAAGCTGGCTGAGAACTGGTTGGAGAAATTGATTGTGATGAACTTCCTAGTTCAGAGATGATGAGCTGGTAAAGGGTGGTGAGAAATGTCCTCCCAATACCTCAGTTTAAATTATGTCCCCTTGCTTTGGACTAACGCATGTCTAAGTTGAAGCAGTCTTTATTTTCAGTTGCAGTATCTTTTTTCCCTGCCCTTCTCTGGAGCTAATCTTCGAGACAATATAAATTGCTCTTCACAAATCTCTTATTTTGCTTTGTTTCTGGTAAAACCAAACACCCCAGCCAAGGTCTCCTAGAGCTGTGCTGTACAAACACAAGGGAATGGATGACCTCTGCCCCAGTTTGGGATCATGACTCTTTGGCTCACTTGCTCACTTCAAATGACAATCATATGTACCCAATCACTGAATCCTTGAGAAAAGAAGGAATTAGTGAACGGGTACATATTCCTTGAAATCCTGGCAGGAAAAGCCAGGCCAGAAATAAGTATAAAAATCTAGGTCCAAACAGAGAAAACTCTGAAGTACCAGAATGTGAAAATAAGAGATTTTCAAAGGGAGAGGTCACACCATCCTGCCCTCTTCATTTGCATTTCACTTCTATTTGGAGTTTGAGTGGTGGGGCTCAGCCAGACTTGGGGCACACATGGCAGGAGTCTGTGTCTGTCCAGTGATGCTCATTCCCAGAGGACAAATTCCCAGGAAAGGACTGCAAGCCCACAGTGCTGACAAAGGAGCAAGCCTCCTTCTGCCACATAGAAAATGAAAGCTCTTGGGACATCAGAGAACACAAATCTAACATCATAAAAACATTTCTTTACTACATGTTGAAAGTTCATTCCAGAACAACAAAAGGAGTTAATTTCTCAGGCCAAACATTGTAGATGGTAAAGACAACACCAAGATCCATGTCTTTAACAAAAAACCAGAATGTAGCTCTGTGGCTTTTATTTCAGTAATACTGAAAGCATTAAAAACCCCAAAAGAATGGAACAGGGACTCTTGCACAGTACAGCACCTTCCCCTCAGAGTTCAGGGGGTTTATGCACTGTGTCTGTACAGCAGCAGGAATGGGCAGCTCCTGGAACTGGAGCCTGGGGAAAGATCAGGCTGGGACACCTCTCTGGATTCCAATGGCAAACTCAGAGTTGGGATTGTCAGCATTTCTCGGTGTTATTGTACAGAAACTGGCACCCAAGAGTTCATTTGAAAGGTGGCTGCAGAGCTGTCTGCTGCTAGTGCAGGGGATTTGGGTTTTTCAAGCCTCAGCAGCACACACATTAAATTACTTCATCACTTGGCTCTTTGCCTCTGTATGAGGTAAATCAGCTGCTAAATCTGTAGATGGGATGGATGATTGGGACGGAACATCCTCTCTGCCTGAAATCCACTGGGAAGCAAATGTCAACGTGCTGCCCTCCCCCTTGTGTGGGTCACTGTTGGGGGCTCAGCTGTGGACAGCATCATAAAAAGTCAGAACAAAACAATTACCCCTGCCCTAAGGATCCCACACAGTCTGTGACTACAATTAAATTTCATGTTGCTTTTTCCTGAAGTTGGGTTGATCATCTGCATTTGCTTAGAGGAGTTAGATCTGCACAACACCTTGTCACTGAGCCCACTCACTCCTTTCAGCTATACTCTCTCTAGGATAATACCTTTAAAAAACAGAACCCCCAGCTTTGCTCTGTGAATAAAAGCAGAGTACATCTTGCTAAGCTTAATGCACCTTGGATTGCAGCTCTCCTCTGACTGTGCTCATGAGAGATACTGGAGGCAGACAGCTGGCCAGGCAGCCTCTCACTGGGTGAAATTCATGCTACTCTATTTGTAGGTGATTACAAAAACAACTTTTCAAGGTTAGTGTCCAGGCTTCTTGCTGCTGCTTAGCACAGGAACAGGAGTCCAAAGACTTTCTTCTGGTTGACTAACTTCATTATTAGTTTTTCTCTTCTTTTTGGTGGTTTTCTCTCCCTTAGAAACGTCAGGGTTATGGAATCTGAATGTTCATAGTTTTGCTGAAGGACACTTTCAGAGTCTCATAAAAACACACCAAGGTGATGGAGATAGTGAACTTTGATTGTATAGAACAATCACCCAGAGCTAATTCGTGGTCTGTACTTTTAAGGGATAATCAAATGCTGGATTCTTGTAGGAGACTAAGTGTGTTCCATACTGCTCACTCTGAGGCTTTTTACAGGCCTTGCACAGACATACAGACAAAATAATTGTGGTAATGAGAAAGAGTCCACTTGCTGCAGACAGACCAGCAAAAACATACTTGTAGCTGGGTTTTGTTTTAAAGCTGGTACACGAATTACCTGGAATTTCCTGACCTGTTGTGGTCTGGCTTGACCCTGCCTTGTTGGAGGCAGTGACGCAGATGTAGTAGGTGGTGAATGGCAGCAGGTTGTACAGGGTGTACTGCCTGGCCGTGGGGTAGATGTTGTCCATGACAAACTGCCTGTCCTCGCCGTCTTGGGCACGAAGCATCAGCTCATAGCTGTGAACAATGGAGTTTGGGGCACACCAGCGGATCTGTGCGGAGCTGTCAGTGATCTCAATCACTGCCCTGAGCCTGGGGGGGTCTGGAACCTCATCTTCCCTGGAAGTGCCAGGACAGGAGCACTGGGATATGTTCTGGAGCTCCTTGCAGGGCCTCTGCAGGTGCCTGCAGGGATCGTAGTCACAGGCAGCCTGGGCTGTCTGCCCTGGGCCCTCCTCCCTGGGCTCTTCGTAGTCGTAGTCATCGGTGTAGTGTGGGGATGGCGCGGTGCGCACAGCCCCTGAGGGGGCACTGCTCCTCGTGGGGTTCAGCTCTGGGGGGCTCGCCTGGGGAGCACTTTGCCTGGCAGGGCTGGCAGAGGAGCGACTGTGGTGGGTGGTGCTGTGGGGGACTCCTGTTCCTCCAGTGGAATAGGCACTGGTGCTCTGCTTGAATGGCCCTTCCCGAGGGTGTGTCGTTTCAGTTGTGCTGAGCCCTCCCTGGAGCTGTTCTGTTCCAGCTGGACTTGGCGAGCTGTGGTCTGGGGACTGAGCAAAGAATTCTTGGAAAAAAACTGGGAAGGAGGTTACAGATGCCAAGGAAGGGGGACTGCTTGTGGGTTCAGAAACTGCCTCCTCCTCGTGGGAGGAACTGTTGGCATTTGTTAGGATGGGCTCCGTTGGGTTGGATGCTGCTGTGCTCCTTGCATCCCTCTGGATGAGGGAGCTGGTATGGGTGTCTTTGGTTAGCATTGGGTTGGATGTTGCTGTGCTCCCCACACCCCTCTGGATGAGGGAGCTGGTATGGGTGTCTTTGGTTAGCATTGGGTTGGATGCTGCAGTGCTCATGATATCCCTCTGGATGAGGGAGCTGGTATAAGTGTCTTTGGTTGGCATTGGGTTGGATGTTGCTGTGCTCCCCACACCCCTCTGGATGAGGGGGCTGGTGTGAGTCAGATCTGTGGTCAGCAGGGCTGAGTCTGTTGTTACTGCAGCAGAGGCATCGTGGCTGGTGAGGCTGAAAGCATCACCCTCAGGAGGGGCTGTGTTTGAGTCGGGCTGCGTAACGTTGCTCTCTGACTGGCACTTGTTGTAGAGCTCCAGCAGTGAAAAAGATGTCGAAGGTCTGCCCGAATCTTCCTGGGATGTACAAAAGGTCTCCTGAGCCCTGCAGAGGGAAACCGGAATAGTCAAGATCCAGAAGAACATTCCAGGTTTCTGTTCTGTCCAGACTGCCTGGATTGGAACTGGTGACCTGCTGTCAAAACCATCTTCATGTTAGTGAGAATGTGAAACCAAAGTTAGATTGCCTTAACAACAGTGCAGGCAGCTTTGCACAGCACTGCCTGTGGAATTTAGCTGGAACTGCTTTGTAAGGTGCAGGGATATCTATGCCCGGGGGGAAGTGTCCTTTGGTACAACAATGGCTGTGAACTTTAGCAAAGGGCACCGGGATTCAGCTTGTCTTAATGGTCAGCCTTTAATGCAGCACTAACAGGGGAACACATGCAGGGAGCTGTAACGGGATTCTCGGGATTCCTAATCCATCTGCTTTAGGCAGCTGGAGGTGGGCTGACGCGGGACTTTTCAATGACTAAGATCGAATTCTTTATTTACTCAGCCACTGAAATTCTGGTAAAGAATGCAACTGCTAAACCCATCCCGATGAAACAACGCTGCCTAATTTCAACAATCTACTTCCCTGCTCTCGGAGAGATTTGATGACAAATCTTCTTGGTGGCCTTTGAAAAGGAAGAGAGACCATTTATATGCAAATATTTCCTTTAACTGCAGCTTACTGTAATTAGTCTGTAAAACTGAGGGGAGCATGAAAACAATAGGTGAGAAATGGTGCTATTTGCAAGGGGTTTTGTTGGCTGCCGGTGGTGATGTAAGCTTTGCAAGTAGCAGGGTGAGGAGAAAATAATTTGTTAAAGATCTTCCAAAGTTTCCCAGTTTCAGTTCCCAGCTCTACTACATCAAGACAGCTCATTTTCTATTGTTAGCTAATATGGAAACATGTGAAATACGGTCCAAAACAGAAAGAAAATATTCTCACCTAAAAGTAGAACCACAGCTAATAACACCTTATGCTTTGTCCCTGAAAGGGACATTATTTTGCATTTCTACCTCTTGTGGGAGGGAAGAACACACCAGGAATTTGAACAGCTCGGTGAATGGTGGTGAATGTCTGGTCCCCAGACAACTTGCACACTGAAGTCGTGTCTGCAGAGCATTGCTCGATCTCCTGAGCTCACTTACTTTTGCAGAACAACTTTCTGGGGTGTGGACAGCAGCCAGGAGAGCTGGCAGCTGCACAGCAGAGGGTTCCCGTGCAAGTTGATGGTGATGCCATCCGAGGAATTGGTGTTCCAAGGATTAAAGGAACTCAGGTTACAGCTACAAGAACACAAACGCAATAATTAAGAAATGCTGAGGTACCTTCCAACGACTGGAGCGTGCTCAGTATCCCTTACCCTTAGTGTGTGTAGGGCATAAAGCAATATTCCCAGTTCCCCTGGCAGTGAGCAGTTATTAACCCACCACCCTGCACTCTGCACGTTCAGAAGATGCTCTCTAATTTCTAGGACTTTAATTCCTTAAAGTTTTAGCACTTTGATTTTTAGCACTTTGAACTGGTATTCCTGCAAGTGTTGGAAAGTGCTGTGTAAATTCAGTGAGGCAGTCAAGGGGGATGGAATCCATAGGATTTTTGCTTTATATGGGTTTATTTTCCTGAAACTGGTTTCTAGGCACAGGCAGCGCTGTAGTGTTTGTTTTCTGATATGCTTATATCTGGGTCGCTATTATAAAAATGTTTCCAAGTGCTCTCCAGATTTTTTCCTTTATGTTGGCTGCTCTGTGTGCACTTCACCTGCTCCTATTTTGATAAATCAGTTTCAGACTTTTGCCTCTCTTAGTATTTCAGGTATGTGATGTATCAAGAGGTGCTACCCCTAGGATGAGGACTGAAACATGGCTTTTACTAATGATGAACAAGGAGCTATATTAAAATGTCACACTAAAAGTGGGACAGGGTTTTTGTCTGCTTCTGAGCTGCAGGTTTTGGAGAACTGTCAGCACTCATCCTGGCAGAGCAGGGACCCCTCAGAGACCTGCTTCTCCTCTGATGGGATTTTGCCCTTGCAAGCCTGGTCTTTAGCACAAGCAGCGTGCAGTGGATCTGTGCTGATCCAAACAGCCCTGGGTGAATTCGTTGGATGGGGAGATGAGGCAGAGGAGTGGGAACACAATGGATGCAACCTCAAGCAAACAGTTAATTGTGCTGTGAGCCCCAGGCTGCCTCTTTGGGCTGTATCAGCTCTATCAGGCCAGATCACAGATTGTACATGGCAAAGACAGCAAGCACACACCTCCTTCCTAAATCTGATAACAAACCGTTCAATTCAGCTCCCAGGCACCACCGGCTGTGGGGCAAAGGCAGCATGATGTGGGGAAGGACAAAAAAACCAACTCACTTCTCAAATGAGAGATGGCTCAGGTGAGGAGCACTGTCAAACACCTCTGTCTGCACAAAGCCCAGGGAATGGGAGTCCTGACAGTGCAGCTCTCGGAGACCAGGCAGGGACCTGAGGAAGTCGCTGTCAAGGCTTCTTAACCGTGGCATGTTTGTCAGATAAAGTGATCTGAGGCTGGCCAAGCCTCTGGCCCACTCTGGTCGAACTGAAACAGAAAAATATTTACAGCTATTGCCTGAACAGAGCATTCCTGTGGATTTCTGTCTAGAAAAAGGGTTTGAATTCATAGATATGAAATATCTGTCACCTTCTGCAGCTATTCTCTTTGGGAAAGGAACAGAACAAAAGTCAATACACCAATGTATAAAACTCATGCAGCTGCATTTCTCCAATAGTCCCCACAGGTCAGGCTGTCGTAGGGCAGAGGAAAAGAGGGGAAAATAGGATAACAAAGCTGATAAGAGATATGGAATAGATTTCTTGGTGGGTGAGATTAAATGAACAAGGATTTCTCTGCTCAGGAAAGTGGTCTACAAGGTCCTGACTGGTGCAAGAAAGGCAAATCACTTCTTTCTCCTAGCACGGGAAAAAGCCAAGAGCCATGAAACTGAAAGGATGGGTCTTGTATGAAAGGGCCTTTCTGTCCCATGACTCAGTAGGGTAGCTCACTACCACCAGACAAATTAGTCAAATTTATGGAGGAAATTTGGTGGTGCAGCTGTTTAATGTGAGTTAAAGTGAACCTCCAGCTTGGGGCCCTGGCCCTGCCCCAGGCTGAGAGCAGCTGGGCAAGGCATCTCACATCTATGTGTCCCAGCACCTCAGGTATAAACTGAGGCTGGCAGGGCAAAAGGGAGAAAACGTCCTGTGGATTGCTCGGGGCAGGGATTGTCCCCCCCTCAGCGGAAGTGTTCGGGCTGTGGATGGCACAAAAAGCCTCTCTGTGCTACTGCAGTGCAGCTCTGAAAGCTCAGAGTGGCTGTGGGGACAAAGAAAGATTTCAACAGCCTGTCTGGAAAGGGAAACTAATTTCCTCCTGTGCTTCCCAGAGCTAATCCCGGGGCTGACAGGGAGGTGACTGTCAGTGGCAGACAGTGGGATTAGGATGGAGGTGGGTGACTACCCCGGGACAAACCCTCCTGTCTCACAGTGTCTGCTCTGTGCCCTTCCTTTGGGAGGCTGCTTTGCGTGAGTGCCTGCAGCAGCTGTGTGCAGCTTTCAGTGGGGGGTGTTCTCTGCACTCCAGCTCAGCCAGCATGGGAGCCATGGTCCCAGCACGGCTTCTGCTCCCCCGGCCTGACCCAGCCCTGTGCTTGCAGGGGGAAACCCAAGAGACTTACTTGTCTCAAGAAAGGTCCTGCTCAGATCAAGCACCTCGATGGAGTTTCCAGGCCTGTCCATGGCCCCGTGGGGATCTGTGCTGATGGCAAAAGCAGAGTCCCTGATTCCCCTGCTGTCATCCTGCCCCAGCAGCGTCACAGAGAGGTTCAGGACCTGCAGCTGAGGGTAGCAGGAAAAAGCCAGTGGCTGGATTTCAATCAGGGGATTGCCAGCCAGGGACAGCCACCTCAGGTTGGGCAGGGCAGAGCCGAGGCAGGATGGCACAGAGGACAGCTTATTGAAGCTCAAGTCCAGCTTGAGGAGACTGCTGAGGGTTTCCGATCCCCACCTCACTGCCCAGAGGTGGTTGTGCCTCAGCGAGAGGACACGCAGCTGGGGCAGGTTTGCTATCTCTGTGCCATTCACCTCCTGCAAGAGGTTATTGCTGAGATCCAGGCTCTGCAGGGCCTCTGGAAGGCAGACTGGGAATGCTGTCAGGCTGCTGTTGGTCAGCTGCAGGGTGATCCAGGTCCTGTTCTTCTGATCCTCACAGGACATGCTGGTGAGATTTACATTCTCCCAAGTGTCCTCCTGAGCCAGCTGGAAAAAGGTGGTGACATCCCTGGAAGCTGCTCTGCTCACGGGGCTGTGTGCTGTGGTCCCCAACAGCAGAGGGAGGATGAGCAAGAGGGACAACATCCCTCTCCAAGGTGCCTGTAGTTCGCAAGGTCCTTTGTTTCCTTTGTGTTTCAGGGAGGGGAAAACAAAACATCGACATTTAGAGCTAAATTAAAATCCCTCCAGTCATCTACAAACTATTTAAAAGAAAAACGGTTTATAAACCCTTTCCTATTATATCCAGACAGGGATAAATGATAATTAATAGCTCTTCTGTAATTAAGCCTAAGTAAACACGAATCCTTGGGGACAGAAGTATCATGCAGTCTTAGTCTAAGTGTGCCTCCAGTGTTTCATGCAGGAAGCATGAACCAAGCCGTATCCCACACCTGCCCCTCAGTGCCAGCAGGCTGTCCTGCACTGTGTCCACTTTGGGCAGCCCAGTGGGGAGAGTTTTCCAGTGAGGTGATGCCCAAACAACCAGAACTGTTTCCTGTGAGGCTGTGTAAAGCAAATGAAAGATCTGAGGACAGAGGAGAGTTACCAAACTTTAAAACCCAGAAGCCCAAACTGGGCAGAGCTGTGTGGAGTGGGCAGGTAGAAGTGCCTTTCCTGTGTCAGGAAGGACTTTCCTTTCTCTAGCAGCAGCTGGAACAGAAAACCCAGGGGCTTGTGTGGGCTCTGCCAGGGCAGTTCTGCCCCGTTGTGAGGACAGTGCCAGCGGGGACCCACAGGGACGTTTTGGCTCCTGAGGAGCGGGCAGTGCCCCCGAGCCTGTGTGCCGGGCAGGGCTGGGCCTGCTGTGGGCGAGAGGCACAGGCAGGCTCTGCACGGCCCAGCTGCTGGGAAAGGATGCACTGAAAATGCAGCTCCCGAACCGCAGTGGTCAGAAACCGAATATGCTCCTGGATCGGGGCCCCAAAGGCCTGAGCGCCAAGAAACATGTTATTTAGTGTTACAGCTGCCTCCGTGCTCCCTCCTCCTCCCACCCCTGATTTGGTCTTCGTAAAAAAACAAACGTCCTTAGCGCCTTGTGCGAGGTCCCCACAGGTAATGTGTGTCATTAAGGAAGGAATTAACCCCAGCCCCAAACTCGCGCTTTTATTGTTGAGCTCTCTTTTGTGCTTCCCGGTAACAAAATGATTTCTCGTCCAGAAATATATTACAGTGTAGGGTGGTAACCGAAACCCCACGGATTATGAAATATCTCAGACTTATTCCAAAGTTTAATTGCTCCTCGCTGTTCCCTGAATGATGCCAGGTCTTGCCCAGACCGTTATCCTTTGCTGCCATCCCAGGTTTGAAATAGGGACCAGCAAAATAGTGCGCACCGGAGCCCTAAAATAATGTGTTGTGTTTGCCTGTGTCCTTTTCGTCAGGCGGAACCGAGCAAGATCCGAGCGGCCTCAGGGCTTCCCGGTCACCGGGGCCGCAGGATCTCCCGCTCCGCAGCACATGGGCAGGGAGAGGATGGGAGGAGTTGGGCTGCTGTATTCCAGTCTCAGATTTGATGTTAATCCTTGCCTCTAAACCGCACCCGCTCGCACGTACCTGTCCGAGGGTCCCGGTGCCTCGCTCCGAGCGACTCCGGCTGCTCGGCCCGGCTTTTATAGGCTCGGGGTGACTCAGCCGGCCCCGTGAGCTTTCCCTGCTCCCGGCTCTGCCCACAGGCTCGGGCGAGGTCTGTTCCAGGCTCGCTCCCCCGCATCCAGCTTTGAGAGGGGGCGGCTCCGGGCAGCTTTCCCCGCTCCTTGGCCCTAGCGGGAGGTGGGTGGGAGGGCTCTTATTTCCCAACGCTCGCGCAGGGCTGCTCCTGTCTGTCTTTGTCTGAGCAGAGGGGGGTAAAGGGAAAAGATCAGTGTCAATAGTCCCGACTCTCACGTCTGAGCAGGGGGGGAGGGAGGGGAATTGTTGTGCTCCTTTGTTGGCAGGTCAGGATGATGTAAAGCTGAGGCTCTGCCTGCTGACATGAGCTTTGGTCTCTCTTCAGGCGCCAATGAGGGGCTTCAAGTGTTTAAATTTCTAAGACTCTGGCTCTTGGGGAGTAAATTCTGCAAAAGTTCACGCAGGACAAATTACTTTCTAAGGAGGCCCTTAGGATATGTCAGAAGTGAAACTCTCACCTGCTCCTCCCGCAGAGAGGAATTCTCTGTGCGGATAGAGAGGGCGTAGGGCACCTCGCTCCCCGTGTGACGGCCTTTGGGAGGCCTCTCCTGCTCCCGCTGTGCGTGGGCTGCGTTCTCTGTCCTGCATCTGTGTACCACATGGCTTGGGACAATTCCCTTCCCGCTACTTCTCTCATCGTTTGCTGGATAAGTAAAACTGACAACAGAAACCATCTCCCACTGAGGGACCTGCCCCGAGCTGGGCTTTTCAGCATTCCCACAATTCTAACAATAATTAGGTCGAGAGCAGAGAGTAAAGTCAGGGAAATGATCCCAGAAAGGGATGAGTTGATGGAGATTGTTCCAAAGTAAAAGTTAAGGGTGGTTGTTCTGTAGCTACTGTAGGACAAGTAATTGTTCAAATTTTCAAGGAGAACGGTAGTCAGTGCTTTTTCTTTATCGGGGCAACAAAACAGATCCCTGACATGAAGGCAGCACCGACCTGTAAACTTCGGCGCTGAAGCGCAGATAAAGGCCTTGCTTGCCTCAAATCGTTGAGTCTGCAAGCACACAGTAGGCAGCCCTTATCTACTGACCGTGTGGGTCATCGTGAGCGTGGGGAGAGAGCCTTGAAAACCACCAGAACATCACAGAACACAGATCGGGGCTTCAGTAGGGCGCTGCGGAGCCATGGCGTTCCCGTGGAGGCCAGCGAGGTGCACACGGCGTCCCCGCGGAGCGGCTCCGGGGCGGACGGATGGTTCCTAACGCGGGGCTGATCCCACCACTGACCCCGGCCGGGCACGTGCGGGCCCGCAGGTACCTCCGGCTCAAAGGGCAGGGCGGAGCAGGTTACAAAAATCTGAAGAATTTGGTACAAGGGCAGGAAAGCCCAGCTCCAGGCAGGCCGGTGGAAAGCCTGCCTTCCCTCTGGCTTCACAGAGCTGCCGGCTGCGGCTCTCCTCCTTGGGAAGCCGAGGAGCAGGGAGCTGGCCTGGCTTTGCCCTGGACTATTAAATTATTAAATACTTGTGATTGCTGCCCTTAGCTCAGTATTTACAGGCTGTGAATTTTCATTGCTTGTTTTAGGGTTATTTGCTATCTTATTGATTTTAATATCTTACAAAAGATACTCCAGGAAACTCGGGGAGCCAAAAGCTGCTTTAATTTTAATGAATTGATCCTTACTGACTTCATTTGGGAGACTGAGTTGAGCAGACTGGGAAAGCTGCTGCTCGTTTTGGTGAAGGTGGAAGGGAGATGGAGGTTTTCTTTGCCCTGAGGCCCTTGATTTCTGAGTGATACAGAGAACCTGTTGCAAGAGGCAGAGCACCCTTGGAAAATGAGCTTTGGTTATTTTTATTTTCCATCTTTGTTTCTGCTTTTTTCGTTGGCCAGTTTTTGTGGCAGGTATTGTATTTTCCCAGCTCATTGGTTAGCTGCAAAGAGCTAATCTCTCATCATCTGAAATATTTCTGCCGTGGTGCTACATACAGGTACTAGTGGAGGTTTCCCAGGGCAGGCAGCAGCCCTCGTTCACCAGTTTATTTGAAATATCTGCTAACAGCAGGCAGAGATTTCCCCTTTGTGATTCACTTTGGTTTGTTCTCATGTCGCCTTTTATTCATTTTCCCGCTTTTCTGAGAGTTTCGGTGACAACCTGAGGGAGCGTTAGCAAGGGCGGGCGTTCCCGTCAGCCTTTTCACACGGGCCATGCAAAGGGAGCTGGAGCAGACGCCCCCTCCCCGGGGCGTTCAGGGCTGCACAAAGCCCCTCTGCCCGCAGGAATTCTCGGGCTGAGCCTGCATTCCTCAGTGACACCAAGATAAGCAGAGCACCAGAAGGTGAGGATGGTACCAGGCTGTAAAGTTTAAGAGGTGAATGTTTCTTACTGGCCGTGATCCAAGTGATGGTTAAGAATGAAAATATCCTGAAAAAAAAAATCTGGAGAAAGGCTTTTAAAGGCAACAAAAGAAATGTTTCACGGGTCTGTCCACAGAGCAAGCACAAGCAAGACATTTTCCTACAGAGAAAGGGGAGAGAATGGAAGAACAGGATTATTTAGCCTGAGGTTTCAGAAAACGATGGGGTGTGTGTCTCCTAACCCAGGCCGAAGGCAGTGGTGAAATCCCCAATGGAATTTGATGTAAGAGCAGCAGGATCCTCTGACATCGGCAGTGCTTTACCCTGACCTGGCTTGGGTTTAGTTAAGCACCGTGTGCAGAACAGGGTTGCAGCTGAGAGGAAATGCAAGTTTCCTAAAGGTTTGTTTTCATCTAATAACATTCCTGCCCAGGATTTCATCTCTGTATTGCAAAACTTCTGGGGAGACGCCCCTGTCCTGCTTTCACTTCTTCACTCATTCTGGGAAGCCTCTCCCACATCTGTGCAGTTGATAACGTGGTGTCTGCAGCCCACCTGCTCTCAGCCCTGTGTATAAATGGTGGGATGAGCTCATGGGAGCCGAGGGTGATCGGGGTATTGCACAAATTGGGGAGGCTGTGGAACTCCACGTGCTCTGAGGGAATGTCCGGAGCCTGGTGGGACGTGCTGGGTGACATGGCTGGCATGGAAGGTGACTCCGAGCTGGGGCTGCTGCAGGTGTCAGGCACAGCAGGCTGGGACAGGCCTCCTCTCAGGTGCTGCCTGCCACATCCAGCCTGGAATTATGGGAGTGCAGGAATGCCCTGGGTCCTGCCTTCCCGCTCCAACCTCTGCAGGAAGGAGTCTTCCCACTGAAACCTCTCCTCTGTGTAGGAAGAGGAGCTGCAGTCACATGCTGCACTCAAAGCAGCTGGATAAAACCAGCTTCCTTTCCCATCTATTTCCCACCTATTGTGAAAAAGCTTTGCAAAGTGAGTGGGGCAAGGAAAAGCTACAGCTGAATGACCTGAGGAAATACAGAGAGAGGGCATCAGCAGGGGATCACTCTCTTAAACCTAAAATGGCAAAGGATAGGGCTTCCAGCCAGCCAGGATGAGCTGGCAGAACTCCTCCTTGCAGAGCAGCAGTGAGGGATTCAGTTGAAAGGCAGTGACACATTGGGGAAGATTGAAGGAGGGGCAGGAAAGAAAATGGAAATATTTGCTAGTTTCTCTGAAATCCCAGCAGAGACAGCTCGCACTGCAAGTGAACGTGCTTGTTTGGCAATGGGATGAGCCACACTGTGCTAATGAGAGAGCTGTGCTCACATTCCCCCTGTCCCTGCATTCCTGTGCTCAGGTCACGTAGGCAAGTGGCAGCTCCAGGGCCTCCCTGCAGCACTGGGGACAGGCTCTGCTCTGAGTGCCCACCGTGGGCTGTGCCTCCCAGGGAGCAACCGCAGCTCTCTGGCATTGCTCACTGCAGCCATGGGCAGCATCCTCACTGCAGAGCCTGACTGGACACTCATCTGGGGGGCAGCTCTCTGTGGAAGAGGTGCTGGCACTAAGATGGGCATTCAGCTCTCCCATGGCATCCTTAGCAGGCTTTTAATATGGCCAGTGTTTGCACTTGGGTGGATCTCACAAAGTGAGGAAAATACTTGGCTTGTGTCAAGCAGCTGACAAGTGGGTAGGTTCTCTTCTGAAGGAAAACTGGATGGTCCTTCAGCCTGTAAAAAAAGTGCTGAGGAGAGGGAAGAAAAGAGGGCTGGGAAGCAGGCTGTGATTTTTTATTTTTGCAAAATGTAAAGCTGTAGTTTAAACTGCACAAACTGAGAGTGATTCCCCTGAAGCCCATTGACAGGGGCTGGGGAAAAGCAGAGCACATGGCAGGAATATCAGGGCTCTCAGTTTCCAGTGATGTTTATGAATTTATGCAGTGGTTTCTGCAGCCTCCCTTTATGATATGACACCACCTGTCCATTGTATTTCTTTAGATATGTGAAACCAGTTTTGGTTTGTCCAGTAGTTTCATGAATTCTCCCAGTTTCACTCTTGTCTTGCTTTACAAGGTAGTATCAAACTTCATTCACTTCGGTGGATGTGTGTGGCTCCTTCCAGCAGGCAGAGCTGCTGGCTGCAGATCTGCTTCCTCAGAGCCATCCACAGCTCCTCTGGGAAACCTGTGCCAAGGCCTTACTGCCCTCACAGGGATGAATTTCTCCCCAGTGTCCGATCCAGCCCTGCCCTCTGTCAGTGGAAGCCATTCCCCCTTGTCCCATCACTGTGTGCCCTTGGCAAAAGTCCCTCTCCAGCCCTCTCACAGCCCTTCCGGGGGCTCTGAGGTCTCTCCAGGCTGAACACCCCCCTCTCTCAGCCTGTCTCCAGAGCTCAGGGGCTCCAGCCCTCCAAGCATCACTCTTGGCATTTGCACACACGTGAAATCATTTCTACAGCTTTTCGGAGCCTCACACGGACAGCTTAGCTCAGTGAGATGTCACAGGGAAACAGTAACAGGGACAGAAATAGAAACACACTCACAGGCCTCTTTAATAGTTTTACCTAGTTCCTAAAGCACATTTTCCAACCAGGTAAGTAACAATGTTCCTCAAAAGATGAACCTTCTGGACGCAGTATTGCCAAGATGAACGCTCTGTGGCTTTCAGCAAACCACTTCAGTGGATGAAGGTGGGCATGGGTCCTACATTTTTGAGCAACTGAGTAACCACTACAGGAGTTCCAATAGCTTTGTCTGCAGGACTTTGGAATGCTCTGTGTTCTCAGGGTAAATGTTAGACAAACTGTGGAGCTTTAAAACACATATTTATTCAGCCTTCGTTCCGATAAATGCTGGGCTCTTTAACAATTGCCAGTTTAACAATGGAAGTTGCCTGGCTGTAACAGAGAAGAAAATTCACTGTACTATATCCTCAAGTTACTTGTTCTGGATACCCAAACAGATAGCTGAAATTAAAAGTACTAGGTTAAAAAACCGTCCAGTGGCTAGACACTATTTGTTTAAAAACATTGAACTGTACAAAAGGAAAACAAAGATGATTCAATTTTCTCAAGGATTGATGATGGAGTTGCCAAACTGCATCCAGTGACCTTAAGTATTTAACAAAACTGACTTCAGTATTTTACAAAAGCTGTAAACCATCCCAGTCACAGTACAAGACTGACACAAACACCAATTAGTAGCCAGCAACTAACAGAGATATTTTTGTTTAGTCTCTGGTAGTCTTAGCTAAAAAGAAGCAGGCAGGGGGAAGAGTTTACTCCATCTCATTCCTGACCTCCAGTTAATTTGTGGAAGAGTTCTTCATCCAGCGTTTCATTGTGGTCCTTGGAACGTGTTGACAAGAAGATGTAGCCCCCAATGTACTCATGGATGATTTTGCAGTCTGCACTCAGGCACGTGAAAGCAATGGACACATTCTGGTCAAACTCAATGGCGACCTAAGGACAAGACATGTGGCAAAATCAGACACAGACAGGCTGGGAAGAAAGAGGAGTGTGAGAACACCGCTGGATCCCAAACCCTGGTAAAGCACTGCCTGCCCCTGCTAACCGAGAGTTCTGGGCCTGCTGGGTGCTCGGGGCGTTTGGCTGCTTGGGGTTGGATTTGCTGCTACAGCAGGGCCCTCTGGTGGTGAAATGTTTTTGCTTGGTCAAGCAGGCAACAAAATCTTTAAGCTTTTTCCCAATGGGATGTGAAGTGAGCACTGGGAAGAGCAGGAATGGCACTCCAGACACTCTCTAATGAATAATGTTTAATCTGCCCATTGTTATGTGCTGACCTTAAATCTGCCTTTGAGGTCCCGGTTTTGGTTTCTAGCTACCATTAGCTCTAAAATGCAGGTAATTGAGCTTAGTTGATCACTGTGGATTCTGCCCTTTTTGAGAGGGATTTATGTAAACCCAGCAACCTGGCCCAGAATTCCAGGTGCAGGGAGTACTGCAGGAGAGCAGTAGGGAGGGTATGTGATCTCTCCTGGTTCCTGCAAAACTCTGTAAGCAGGAACAGTTTCCAGGCTGCTTCAATTTACATCAGGTCACACCAGAAATCTACAATTTAATTTATAGAGCTGGATTCAAGCTTTGAAGCCCCAAATCAGGGACCACACATGGACACAGAGTTGCAGGCTCTCCAATCTCAGTTTGGGATCTGAAAGACAAACTGGGCTCCTGTATCCTCAGTCTGCAATAGAGACTGAACCACCACCATGTAGAGGACGATGCATGAGATTAAAATGAGATTTTTACTGACAGAGAAGTAAACACAACATGTGGGAATTCACCTTGGAGTCTCTATTTCATCCCATCAAAATCAAGGGCAACTTGTCATGAGCAAGCTTGGATGGAACCTTTAAAACTGGTGATCTTTTCATTTCTGATTTCTGACTCCAGACTTCACTAAGAAAAACTGCAGACAGCTTATTGACTAACATGTCACCACATGTTCAAAATCTTTTCAGTGAGGCTTGAAAATATTTTCTGAAAGCATCCCTGAGTGTGTGAAATGCAAGGGCTGAGGGCAGAGCTGTCCCAGGTTTACCTGGCGGATTTCCCAGTTCACATTCCACTGCTTCATGTTGGAGAACCTCCACGTGGTGATGGGATCTCCTGTGGCCATGTCTATCCGTATCAGCCTGTTGTAGGACACCCCAAGCACATCATCCTTCTTGCTTCCTTTAAACCTGAAAAGAACCAAAGCCTCTGAGCAGATCTGCTTTGCAATGGTTTCTGGCTAGAGAAACATTTCAGCTGCTCTCCCCTGGAAGTGCAAAAAACGTGGGAAATCACAACAGCTGGGATTGAGGAGAGCTTGGACTCATCTTTAGAACAGGATTTGTTATAAAGCAAAAGTGCAGGCTGATGAGCCGTGGTGTAAGATGGAAAATAGTCAGGAAGGTAGACCTGGCTGAAATCTTTCCATTTCATTGTTTCCTGCTAAAAAAATACTGTTCTTCCCAAATGCATGAACTGGATTATACTTTCACTGGAAAAAATGCCAACAATAATTTTTGTTGCTTCATTTCTCTAATGTTGAAACATGTTCCTCTAGTTATATTAACCTATATTAACCTAAATGATACAATCAAAACAACTGATATATACCTGTTTTTGAGTATATCACATTACAAAATTATTGAGGCATTTTAACATTTCAACTTTCATCTGATTAGAGATGAAAAATAAATACAAAAGCATCTGAATCTTTTGGGGACAGATTTTTTTTTGAGTTGGAATAGCTAGGAAGAGAAACAACCTTCCTCTACCTTCATGCTGAAAGCTGGAAGAAATCTCCTCTGCCTGCTGTGAGTACTCTCAGTATTTCTGATCCTGTTTGTGAACCTTCTCTCTTTAGATGCAGCTGGACCTCAGGGAGAAAATTTGTGACACAATTTGTGCTTTGCTTAATGCCCCACTGAGATACTGCCCAGCAGTTTGCAGCAATTCACCACTACAAGATGCAGTTTAGGTGTTGGGTTGGTTTGTGTCTTTAATAGGATTAATGGTGACAGATGGGGCAAAAAATCTGTACCTGTGGCAGTAAATTCAACAGGATCAGGGACCATTTTTGGGCATGGAATTCAGGGAGAATTCTGGCTCCAAACAAGCAGGGCTCTCTCAAGTGGCTGCCAGGCACAGTCTGGCACCTGGGACATCCAAGGCCCGGCATGATCACAGTTCACATGAGGCTACTGGATTTTGGCAAGTCACAGTTCAGTAGTGCAGATCAGTTTGTACCCCTGATGATTCCTAGCCAGCCCTGGAAGGGGTGTTAAACATAAATGAAGGAAGGTGCCTCCGAGTATGGTTGTGTCAGTAATTTTCAGCTTTTTGGTGTTTTGTCAAGAGAAAAGGCTGCAGGTCAGACCTCTGCTGTGTCCAGGCAAGCTGCTGTGAACACAATGGGACCTTTCTTGTGCTCACTGCTCTTCCAGATTAGCCTTAAAAAGGGATAATTTGCTGTTTTCTTAATGAAATACAAAAGGAATTAGCATTTTATCATGTTGCAATGAGCAAGGGTCAGAGTGAACACATCCTGCAAACCTGAGCACACCAATTAGACAGGCATTTTATACATTTTGGAGAGTTTATGACAGTAAGGGTTTAATGCTAGTGAGAGGTTACTTCAGGCTGAACCCAAGAGGTCTGTACCAAGGCAGAGGTAATGCAGTCTCACTCCAGGAATGGAGATACTGGGGGCTACTCCTATAGCAAAACCAGCAGTATGGAAATCACTAAAATTAAAAGAAATCTCTGGGGGAAAACCACAAAATGTTCTTGGAACAGGGTGTCAAAGAACTTCCTGCAAATCACTGAGCATGAACTTGATGTGAGAGTGCAATTACCTCACAACGTAGTAGGACAAACCAAACTCCGGCAGGGACTGCCAGGCTTGGATAAAACGCAGCTTGGCCTCCACCAGGGACATCTGGGACACGTTTTGGTGGGCTTCCAGAATTCGGGCAGTCAGCTGGGAAACACAGGAAGAGAGAAAGTTTTCAGCTGACTGGAGAACAAAAATCCTGTTGCTTTCATTAAATCAGAAATCATGAGATCTGTGCCGTGTTCAACACTTTGTTGTCACTGTTTGTGCAGATGCAGCACAGAGGGCACCTGGGGACACATCCCGAGTGCAGAGGGCAGAACGGACAGCAAGGTCTCAGGTCTGGGTTTGTGAGGCACTGCCCTGGCTCCATGCACTGCTCTGGGGACCCTCCTGAGGACAGGCAGGCTGAGCTCTTGCACAGCAAAAGCAGGACAAGAAATTAAGTGCAGAGTAAGGAAAGACTTGAAGGACAAGAGGACCCAAAGACCCTGCTGATTCGGATGGAAACAGTGGCTTGCAGTCCTTGAAATGCTCCCTGTTACTCTGAAGAGACTTTCAGGAAGGAATGGTGTTATCAGGAGCAGAACAGCATGGGTGACTTAAGCCAGGTATGGATGTAGGAGAGGTGCCAGAACACCTGTCCCTGTGTTCATCTGAAGAAAAGGCCTCTTGTAAAGGGACAAAGGACTGCTGCAGGGAGTTGTCCTGCACGGCTTCCAAGTGCTGCTTTCATCCAGCCTCATCCCTAAGCAGCCCTGGATGGCCCACACCCATCCAGCAGCCACACTCAGGTACCTGCTTGGACTTGAATTTTTTGGTGTAGCGTGGAGAGACGAAGCATTCAGGTTTCATATCCACGTTCTCTGGCTCAGAGGCAGCCTGGGAACACATGGTCCAGTTCTTCATCTGCAGGAAGGAAAGGATCTTCTGCACCTCGGGCTGGTAGGAGCTGTCGGCCATCGTTCTGCCCTTGGAGGCCAGAACACAGGCAGCCATCCACCGAGCGTACTGATCCTCCTGGAACACAGACAGGGGTTTGTTCTGTTCTTCCTTCCTGGCTGGACTGCTTCCAACTACTCCTGGGTTTTAAATTTTCTAAGCAATCCAGTACCTTGAAATAGATTCTCTTGGAGATTTTATTGCATGGCTGGTGTTCACCTACTGAACACTTTTTACACAATTTGATCTGATACATAAACTGAAAACTAATGTAAGACCCTTATCATGCTCTCCTCGTCTGAATGGGGAGAGTTCTAATTAAGAAAAAAGAAAACAAAATCCAAACTTCAATTCTCTGACAGCACTGGAACAAAATACTGTAACTTCTTTTTATTTTTTGATAGTTTGTTCTGGCTTTTTTCCTACCAGCCTGATGGTAAGCACAAGATGATTTACTGTCCTTATGATGTATTTAACAATTATGTATTTGTTAGGTCACAACATCATTCTTAAATTTTCTAAAGATTTAGACAATTAACTCTCTGCAGCATCCTCATTTTTCTATACAAATTCTGGAGCAGGACAATCTGCCATAAATCTTGAATTCAAATTTTCTCTTGTCTTATTACTCACGTTATCACATCTTAAATATACTTCATTCATGCCATCCGCAACAGGAATTAGCAACTTGATTCCAAACTTCTTCGCTGCAACATTTACATCTGGTACAACTTCACATCCTAGATCACAGGGAATCAGAAGGAAATGAATTTATTTCATTACTATATCAGTAGCTTTAATTACTCCTTTAACACTAAGGAACTTAGTGCTTTGTGGTTGTTGTTCTTTGAGACTAAGGGCCAAGACTTTGAAGCTTAGGCCCTAATGAAAGGGTTTTGTTCCTTTTACTGCCTGGTCTGGCTTGCCAGGGTGATGAGTGCTCTGAGCTCAGGGAGCACGTGAGCCCACGTGGAAGTGAAGGGATGGGAGTGCTCCCAAAACCTCAGCCTGCTCTCAGGAAATGCTCAGCTCTCGAAATGGAGAGGAGCTGCTGGGAGAGGCAGCAGTGCAGGGGATTTTACAAATCAGCTCTGATAATCCCAGCTCAGGTTAAACCATTGAATCCTTTCTGTGTAAGCCTCTTCTGCAGGTGCAATCTGCCTGCTTAGGAGTCTCAGGAGCTGAAAAAGCTCCCAGACAAATGCTGCTGTGCTTGCCTTCCTGCGTCTAGCAGGGATTTCTTTTATTCACTTCACAGATGCAAAAGAAAAACGAAAGAAAGGAGAATTCCTACCTTTCAGGTTTAGTTTCTCAATAGGCTCTCCCTGTGCAGATTCCTTGTTTTTAAAATAAGATATTGAAGTGTCTCTGAAGACAAACCAGTATGTCTTGATAGCTTTGAGTGCCAGCTTCTTGGGCCTACCAGAAAAAAAGAAATCCCATTGGTTTATTTCAACACATAAAATTGAAAAGTCCCTCAGAAACACTGCAGAGCCTCTGAAATTCAAGGCCATACCCATGGCTTTGGTTGGTTATGACACCTCTGAGGGGGTGGGAAATGCCTGGATCCCGTCCAGGTTATCCCAGGTATGGACGTGGTTTTTGCTCCAGATTTTAGCTGAATCCCATCTATGATTTTTTCTCATTTATTTCCTCCATTCCTAATCAAAGCCATTCCCTTGTAACAGACTAATCCTTCCCATGAACTCAGTAGCACAAATGTAACCCCTGATTTATTACCATGAATTTGCATCAGTTTTTCATATCTTGAATACCTTCTTGCCTTATCTTGAATATCTGCACCCATAAAACCAACTCATATTCATTGTAAGGAAGCAGAGATCAGCTTTTCTGGCTTTATCTGAATCATATCTAACACAACAAAACTCTATTTCTTCACTAAGTTTACAGAAGCTTTGTAGCCCTTCAGGACAGAAAACCAGAGGTATTAGCATGTGAGTAGAGAAAATTTGAGTGGAGAAATACTTAATGGTTAGTGACAAAGGTCATCAATGAAGTGAAAAAGAAGAAAAAAGAAAAAAAAAATCCAGTGTTTCCCTTTAAATCTAAGGGGATGGTACAAAAAGTATAGAACTAGCTGGAAAATAGTGATGTACTATATATACTCTTATTATATATACCCCCAGATCCCCTCTAAAAATCCTAATTTAGAATCCTTTCTAGAAAATGGCAATTTTTTTTTGTTTTAATTAAAAAACCTTATATTTTCAAAACTACCAAATAATTTGGTTGTTTTCTGATACAGCAACATCCTTCAAAAATAAGGGACTATATTTTTTTTTAGACAGATAAAATTATTTTTATATCCCTGGAAATGTTGCTGAAAACTTTTTAGAAAGCTTTTTCTTGCTGTTTTTGAAAAAAATGTTGCAATTCTCCACAATACTGTCCCCACCTGAAAGCAGCATTTACTGTGGTGCATACTGTGAATAAATAGGAATAAAAGTTCACCACAGGAACAGGAAGCACTGGGACATGCACAGCTTTGCATCCAGGTTTACAGTTAATCAAATAATTACAGCCACAAAGTGTTGCTGTTTGAAGAAAACCTGGATTCCACAGTGCCTTAGGCTTTATAATTTATATAGGAACCTTTTCATGATGATAAATAACTGCTGAATGCTTATAAAAGCAAACTGTTCTACTGCTGGGGAAAAATAAATAACCCATTGTTAAAAGCCTTAATTCCCTTTCACCTTAAGCCACCTTCATAATAAGAATGTCAAATAAAATTCCAAATTGGAAATTAATAATTAACAATTGTTAGCAGTTAACAACAGTTAAAAATTTTCAGGTGCAGTTTTCAGTTCCTAGATTAAAAATACCATCTGTCAACGGATGAATCTGATAAATACTTGTACAACAGAACGCTTTATCTCTCTAAAACACAAAGACTGTTTTGTGATAAAAGGCATTACAGACTTGAGGTCTCTACAGTCATTAAATCACCCATAAAACAAGAGACTACAATGGGATCACAGAAACCCATTTTGATATTAGAAAAAACAGACTCCATGTTCAGTAAGAAAGGGGTAATTTGGATGTCCCTTTTGTTTAAAAAATACATTCCCTGGGGTTACTTTCAGAAATTCTTCTCAGGGAGAACTGCAAGTTTCTTCTGGTGTCTTAGTGGGGAAAAAAAAAAGTAAATATGATTGAAAATAAAACTTAGGCTGTTTTGTTTAGAGATGATGACTGAGGAGCACTAGGAAATACAGACAGCAGGGCCTTTAATAAGTACAAACACAGCTACCCAGCATCCCAGGAGTGGCAGAGATTTGCCAAGCAACACTGTCAGAAGCAGGAAGAGAAAGACTGGAAGAGAATATTATTAGGCTGGTTAGGCCTATCTGGGGGATTTGTCTATTTATAACTGCCACATGTACTGTTAGATTAGAATGAAAAACTCAAGAGATCTCTTGTAAGGTTAAGCTTTTGGTTTTGTATGTTTTGTTGTTAGTTTTAACAACTCACCTAACTAGCTTGAGATTATCAGCGAGTTTCGGGATGTCTGTGATGTCCTCCTAATCAGGAATAATAAGGAACAATTTTAGTACAATGCACTCTGTAATCAACTGTTAAAAAAATCAAGAACCAGGAAGGCCCATGAGAGTCAACAGATTTGGCATAGCAAAAGAAATTATTCTGGGATCCCAAAGGACATACCAAAATGTTGCTTTTATTTCCACCTTCCAGTGTCACTTCCAGATTGGAAAGGGCGGCTTCTACTTCATCCACTTCTGACTCACAGGTGGAATCTTGTGTCTCTGACGATAATGATAACTTGCTGACATGGTACTAAAACAAAACAGCATCCAATAGTCAATGCAGCAATTATCAACACACAATCACAGTGTTTCAAAACAGATCATTGGTTCTCCTGGGTCTTGGAGAACTGTGTGAAGTTCTGCAGGAATCAGGGCTTTTCCCAAGGAAACAGCCATGGCCACTGTGGCTCCTGTGCAATGGCTCTAATGGTTTCCTGTTCTAATGATCAGTGTTTGTATTTGCTGAATAATTGCCCCTGCTCTGGGAGGCTGCTACATTTGGATCCCTACTCCTGCCATCCATACAAGGTGGGAACTTGGAAGCAAAGTGCTCTGGTGCTCTGCAGTGACAGGCTGTGAATTCTTGGCAGCTCTGTTTACATTTAAAATGAAGGAATTTATTATTAAAGCAGGTTTGTGCTTTATTACCTATGGTCAGAGACTAACCCATGCTCAGTCATGTTCAATTCCCAAGTAGTCCATAGTGTCCCTATCTTCACATTGTGCTGTGGCATTTTCCTGGCTGTTGGGAGATGTTCACGTGGTGTACTCATGGTGTATTACAGGAATTTCAGGAAGAAGAGATGAAGGGATGGTAGATGGCATAGGAAGGCACACTTCATACCAGCACTGATATCAAAGTGCAGATAATGTTAGTAATGCAGATAATGTTAGTAACTGTTTCCATAATTGCGTGACTAATGGTGTTAGTGCTGCCACTGAATTCAGCTGCTTTAGCTGATGGGTGCTGCTGAGTGTTTCTCACCCCAGGAGCAGACCCCAATCCAAGCAGAGCTCCTGGGCTGTGTGCTGGCCTTGTCCTAACCTGTGCCTGCCTGTTGGGGGAGCAGGTTTAGCCCCGGGCTCGGGTACGTGCCTGCAGTGCTGCGAAGATGAGCATCTCCTCCTCGGTGCAGTCGATCTCCTCCAGCAGGATGGCCCAGCGCGCCTGCTCGTAGATCTGGTTGATGCGCACGGCGTCGTACTGCAGGGAAGGGACAGCACCCAGGGAGTCAGGCACAGCCTTGGGGCCAGAGCGGCTGATCCAGCTGCCTCAGCCACACTGCTTTGTGATGAGTTCCTTCCTCTGCTCCCTCCTCTGCTCCCTCCTTGCCCTGTACCAGCTCCTGTGATTGTGTGCCTGCTCCCACGGCTGGCTGAGCCTACACCAAACCAGCCAGGAGCCCCTGGCTGGGGCAGAAGGTGAGGCCCAACATCCCCTTTTGAAGGAAGCCTTGGACTGGTGTAACCAAAATGTGAGACCACACTCATGTGACACAGCTGACTCAAATGTGACCTGCAGAACTCTCTTGTTCCTCATTTCCTTTCTTCTGCTCTTGACTTTTTCACTTCTGGTTCTGTCTGGCTTTGCACTGGCTTGAGATTTGCCAGATCTGCTTTAATTCACCATCTGTTTTTTGGATAGTGATTACTCCTTATTATCTACTTGGTTAATAAGCTGAAGTGACTCACAGAAATGTTCAAGGCCCAGAGCTGCTGAAATGTAGGTGATGGGAGGGTAAACCTTGGAGTGTGACCTCTCCCAGCAGAGGAGAGATATTTGGTTGCCTGAAGCTCTTTTGGGCATTTCATCCTATGGCTCCAGGGCTGGCTGGGGCAGAGAAGGGAAATGTTTGGGCTGCTGAAGTTGAGACATGTACTTGGATTTTAGTGGGGGTGCCATTTCACCCAAAGTCATGCCAAATAAACTGGAAAGTGCCCTGATTTCTTCTGAGGGCTTCAGCCCAGAAAAGCTGTGAAATTCAATGAGGACAGTTCAATATTAATGTAATTGTAAAGCCAAATTTCAAAACCAGGACCCCTTACATCATTTAGGATAGTGCTAGTCTAGTCTTCTCCTTAATTTTTCCTGTTAAAAGAGATGCAGAAAGTAAAGCAGCCCCTCTGTAAACAGGGATACTGTTTCTGATGCTCTTCAGATCCCATCTTTAAATTTAAGATCTCATTTCATGTGAGGAACAGCAATTCAGGGTCCAGAGGGTAAAAGTGCAGCCATAGCTGAGAGAAGCTGAATTTGATCTCTCTGAAGGGCTTGTTACAAATCCTAGCTAAAATTCTACATGGAGCTATATATATTCTATATTGCTGTATAGCTCCTTGACATGAAAACAGGCAAACAATGAATAGCAATAAAAACAAGGCTCTTACTTTGGGATTCAAATCAAAGAAAGTGTAATATTTAAAGCGTAGAAGAAGTTGATCTTCCTCCTGAACATCTTGTTCCATAAGTGATCGAGATGAATCCAGCCAGCTGTGGAAGAAAACAACCCACAGATCCAGCTGTACAGGAGAAACCATCACACCTGCAGAGCTCCAGTGCAATTGTGAAACAAAAGTAGGAACAAACAGCTCTAATTCCTCTAAATCTAGGGGAAATTCATGTAACTCAAGCAGGTGGGCATTCATATGGATTTCCAACTTCCATTTTCTGTGTATATACCATAAGCAATGTTTACTTGTGCAGAACTCAGTCACCTGTTTTAATACAAAATTATTGAACTTATCCATGTCTCTTTCCACTGTCTACTTAAAGCCTTTGGAGTTTGCCATCCAAACTGTCCTTTAGCTGTGCCCACTGTGCTCAACTGAATTTGCCCTCATGAAACAACACACTTTAGCCCAGAGCCTGCCCAATGCCATCACTCCTCATTTTGAACTCAAAGGATGTCAGAGAGGCACCTTACCCTGCATTGAGCTTGGCTTTGTCAGCCAAAGTCCGTGGCTGGTACATCTCTGCCAGCATCTCTGGGGAGCAGGGGGATTGGCTGAGGGCCAGGATGCTGCAGCTCTGCTCAGCTGTGGAACCATCACTGAACCAGGTCATGGTGGAGGAAGCTGGAGAGCCACTGACAGGATCATAAATGGGTGTCATGGTCTTACTGTACAAACCTGAATTGGCTGCAAGTTAAGAGCATCATGTTACTGCCATGAAAAATGGTCCTGTCCACTACTTCCCATCATAAAAACCCTTTTCCTTCAAGACAGTCTCCCTTCTGCTGTTTGCCCTTGTCCTTTCACAGGTGAGTGACCTCAGGGACAGAAATGCTCTTTGTTGCTCTGTGAGATCTCACTTGTGTTGGACACAGGAAACACATGCTTTCAAGCCTTTATTCCTCATTTTCCTTGCAGGTTGTCAAATGTCATGAATATTTTAAGTGTTGTCCCTCTTTTTCAAAGGGCAGCAGCACATCCTGTGTGCAGGGCCAACACCTTTTTTCTAGAGTGGCCTTTCTCATATCAATGGCAATGAACACATTTCTAGGGACAACAGGGAAATACTGACATATTGGAGATTTCCTGAAGCCACTGATTTCAGGCCCACTGTGTCTCCAAGACCATCCTACATGAAACTGGCCTCCTTTGTGTAACAAAGAATTTCTTCCTCCTTTTGACTTCCAGTCAGAACAATAAAATCATATTGATTTTTCATTACCTGGTAATCCAGAACTCACTGGAGAGTTGCACAGGTTTAAGATATCTTCTGTAGCTGGTTCTTTGCTGTTCTTGTCTTTTTTCTTTTTCTTTTTGAGTGTGCCTTCTGATTGCTTCAACAATGAGAGTTCTTCTGGCCGCCTGATATCTACAAAGGCAGTTTGGGAAGTGAAGCAAGATGATTACATCCAAAAGAGCACCCATGGTTGGTAACAGCATTTCAGGAAGCTTCATGTTGCAATCTGGACTTTATTTTTAGCAGGTTGAAAGTAGAAGCTGTGGAAAATCCACTAATTCTATAACAAGGCCAAAGACTTTGGGCTGTAAGAGTGAGTTTGGACAGGATTTAAATCTCCTTTTGTAGGAAGCGTAACTGCATTTTAGAATGCCAGGAAAAAGCTCTTTCTCCCTAACAGCTCTGCAGTCACCTGTGAGCATAATAACCTCTGTGAAATATCTAAATTATGGATAAGCAAGAACCATTGTAATTGAGGTTCATGCCTTTTATTATTCAATGCATTTCTCATACAAGATTCTGTCTTGGTTCTCACTGTTCTCTAATGCACTACTAATCCAGACAGGTATTTCCAGTCACAAACCTGGCCCTTCATTTCTGAAAACACTTTTACCCTGGGGTAAGCAAAGACATTTTTGACAGTATTCACTCATTCATTTAAAGTTACAATGTTTCTGTACTGACTCAACCTGGAGGGAAAATGCAGAAATATTTAATTTGGCCAAATGCCAGTTGGACAATTATGGCATCATTATATCAGAGTTGTTAGGTATAATAAAGACATTGCACCTTTCACAATCTACTGCTAGGAGATGAAATTGAAAGTGGATCAATATGAGGCAGTAAATCCCTTCTGAAGATGAGTGTAAGCTTTGAAGATCTAAATTAAGATGAGGAATTGAATCCCTATTTTTACCCTAAACCAAAGGGATTTTTTGCTTGTAGACTCAACTGATTCCCATTGGTCACAGACACACATCTGGCATGCTCCAAACCCTCTGCTTGGAAATGCTCCATTTTTGGCAAGAGTGGGGGACTCAGTGCTGTGAGACATTCATGGGCTGGGCTGGGGTTGTTAGGTGTGCCCTGACCTGAACAGATCTGGGCATACAGAAGTCTTGAACATTTAAAACATGCTACATCTGAAGTGAACACATATAGGCAGAGTTGGATATTATTAATGTCAGTGAAAATAGGTGATAAATCAGTTGACACCAGTAAAATTGCCTGTGGTGAAGGCTGGTGTAGGACACTGACAATCTTATGCTCTTACTCACTGGCACAGAATAATCAGGACCAAGTCCTGCTCCAGGAGGACAAAGATTCCTAGAAAACTGCCAGCTTTGACTATCCAGTACTCCTGCAGCTCATGGGACACATTGCTGACAGTGCTTGCATCACTTATCACAGAGACTTATCACAAAGAACCACTGACATGCATTGCATACTGAAACCACCAAAAGCCTGTCTCACATTACTCTTTGACCCAAACAGTTTGGTGAGGAAGGACTTCACATCAAAACAAAGTCACCAATAAATGCTCCAGCTTAGTAGCCAGAGGAGATTTATCTTTACTTACTGAGCATTTTGCAGATGTCACTGACAGCTTTGAACACCATGGAAGAGAAGCTGACTTTCAGTCTCACAGTCTTCATGTTTGGCAAGCGAAGCCGCAGCATTTTGTGCTGAGTAGTGAAGATCAGCTTAGCATCTGCCTGCACCCCGCATTTATCCAGTGTCCAGTGGGTTTTCAGAAGCCAACATTTTTTTTGTTCCCACCAGAAAGCATAGTCTGACCAATCTTGTGCTATTTCTAGGAAAATACAAAATGGTTACTAACAAACTATGGAGCAAATATACCAAACATTTGATTTGGAAACAAGTCTCTGCAAACACAAATATTTTAGATTAAAGCAGCAGCTACAGGTCCCAACCTAGACCCTGTTTGCTGCATTCTTGTGGCAGTCACTGAGAACCAACTTTGTTTTCCCTGAAGATCTAACCTAGGTGCTGACTGTGGCACTGCCTTAGTCTGTGGATATCCATTGGGAAAGAACAGCTCCTGAATCTGGTGCTACCTGTGGTGCAATGCTGCTGGGATTGTGCTGGGATAAGGACTAACAACAAAGGGTTCCAGCTCAGAACTTGTCAGTGCAAGCTGAAAATCCTCCTGCAAAATCTCCTGTCACCCAGATGGGCACAAGCTCTTCCACAGCCTCCTGGCAGCAGCACTGAGCAGCTCATCTCAGCGTTAAGAACCAGCTTCAAGTCCATGGAAGTCTTGGTGACACACAGCTGAGTAGCAGCACATGCACAATGAGAGAGATAAAAGTATTGCTGCTCTTAATTCCATGGGAATTCCAAGATAACTTCCCAGATGTCAATATGTAGTAGCAGGTAAAGCTTCTGTGTGATCTTGGCCAAGCTGTTTCAGTCTTTGCACAATTCCTTGTTCCTCACCAGCTCCATGAGGCAGAGGCTGCTCCTCAGCATGTCCATGACACAGCAGAGCCCTGTCCTATCTCGGGGTCCCCTGGTAAGAGCTGCTGACTTTTTGTGTCTCAAGACAGCTGCTGACACAAGTCAGTTACAGATTTGCTTTAAATATTAATACAGAAAGCTTTTCACACCAGCTGAATATTAAAAAGAAAATACTGTGAAAAATTGTTCTTCTGACTCAGTGGAAACTGTGGCTACCAGCAGTTTCCGGCTGAACCGAGTGTCTAAATGTGCAGAATGGGTGACAGAACTGATCTCACATTCTCTTCCTGTGCTCCCCTGCCCACAGGGGATTTTACTTTTTACTTCCTAACTTTGACTTGGCTAGTCTTGGCTTTTCCCAGCTCTTCCCTACTGTGTCTATGCAATGGATAACATGCTCAGACTTAGGTTAGAACACCACAACAGCACAGGAGACAGGAACTCCTGAAGTGCCTTTTAACAACTGATCCTGTCTGACAGCCATGGGTGCATAAACAGGGCATCACCTACCTCTCCTGCCCCCCAAACCACACAGCTGTACCATCCTGCTGGAAAGGGACTTGAGTAGTTAGCCTGGTTTAATTATTTTTGTCTAACTGAAAGGCAGCCCCAAAGTTTTGTTGGCACTATGGTAACACAGAGGGTGGAACACAGGGAGGGGTTTCTGACTTTCTGGTTTTCTGACCACAAAAAGCTCCACACACTGTGTGTGCTGTGACACAGAAATGAGGGAGTACCATTTCAAAACACACAGAAGCCTTTCTTCAGAGAGGGAAATATGCACATATTATTTAGTAACTGTAAAAGAAACAGGTCTTTACTCACTGATTTTTTCTACTAATTTCAGCATCAGTCCTCCAACATGAAGATCCCCTGTGACCTGTAGTGGAAATTCCTTATCTACACCTTCATGTTGATGATCAACTGTCAGCAAGAGGTCCCAGGTGTGTGACCCATATTCATTTGAGGAAACCATCTTGGGAAAGGTCTGTGTAAGCTCTGCAAAAGCAAACCAACCAAACGAACAGGATGTTTCTCCTCCACTCTGAAACAAATGCATTTCTCCACAGTCTCAACGTCATTCCATGCTGCCAGGACTTCACAGTGGCCTTGGATAGAACTTCAGAAGTGTTATCTTGTTACCTCTGAACTACATTGCTCCTGCAATTGCTCTTGCAAGATAGGAATGTGGGATTTTTTGGTTTCATTCTGATTTTGCCACGCCCCCAACCCAGTTGCCTCCATTTGGGTAGATATAGCTCAGTTTTAGCTGGGTTTGCCCACCACCCAGTGCTAATCTGCCAGCCTGGACACTGTAAAGCCTACAGGGAACAAAGGCATTTTGTTGACTTGTACACTTAGAGCTCTAATTTTTACTGCAAATCCAAGTTTACTTTTGCAGTTCTGCCAGCTTGCTCCCATGGGACCAAATCCAGAGAGTAGTTTTACCTATTTGGGTACATACAAGGGGAGACAACTTTAGTGGCTCTCTGCCAGCATTATCCAGACACAGATCTGCAGTTCCTGCTGACTTGCACAGGGATGTAGGCACGTGTCCTTCTCAGCAGGGTGAACTGTCTGAGATCCCACCAGGCTCCTGCCAGGACAGGTGAACAGTAATCTTGCCAAGCCAAACTACAGGAGACGCTCCAAGAAGAAGTTTTGGTCATCATCAGCTGGGTTCTGCTGCAGAAAGAGCTTGTAGGTACAAGGTAACTGATGCTGCAGGCAGGATTTGTGATATTTAAGCAGTGAGACAGCTCTCTGTTCTGGAAAAGGCCTTTGCAGTTGAGGCATAGGCACTAAAATGGATGAATTCCATTTATTGCAAACTTTCAACAACACATGAGAGCGCAGCTCACAGACTCTCTCTGAAGGGACCCTACTCAGACTGCTTTCAACATAGAAAATAACTAAGCCAGAAGGGATGTAACAACGTTACAGACTGTTATAGATCTTCTTAAAAATGAGTACATAGTAATTTAAAACCTGATGTCAATGCCTCTGATACAAAATGTATTGTCAAAAGGATAAGAGAGATGAGGTGGTAATGACAAAATCGACTAACAAGGAAAGTGATTCCAAACATAAAGGCAATGAATGTGTATGTGTTAAAGATTAGATGGATTTCCCCTTAAACAAATGACATTATAAATGAATAATCTGACCAGCTCAAAGCCATCATTTTAGAGGGAAATCACCTTACCAGAGAGTTTCACTGGGATGGGGCTGGGAATCTGCCCTGAAGTTCCAAAATTACAGACACACACAGAGAGCCCAAAGTCAGAGAGCTGCAGCTTCCTAACTGTGTGACTCCAGGAGGCCAAGTCTTACTATGGAGCAGGCCCTGTTGTTAACTGGGTTCTTGCATGTGCCAGCCTACACCTTTACACTAAACACTTACTAAACCAACAAGGGTTGGTACTTATCCAAGAGGTTTGCTTGGCTTGCCTTGGTAAATAAAGGCATTGTGTTGGACACTGGGAACACTGCCTTTCCTGCCTCTGGGATAAAGGATTTTGAATTTGTGCTGCCGTGTGCCATATGGATTTATGAGCTTAGGTACACACTAGAGCAGGGGGTACCTGTGGAGGGGAAGGGCTGAGGTTCTCATAAAGCACCCAAGACCCAGATCCTGAGCTGGTCCCCCAGGCAGGGGAGGCTTTCAGCACAAGTGCACAGCTCTCCTTGCAATGTATTGACAGCAAAACAAAATTCCTGACTATAGAAAAGGCAAAATGCCCCTAGTCATGCTCCTAAGCATCAATAAACAACTTCAAAAGTAATCCATGGCCAAAGGATGAGAACTATGGGATCTTATTTCAGGAGCACAGGGGTGCAGTCTGGCAGATGAACTCTACTTTTGCCCACCCTTGTTCCACTATAAACTAATATTGCTACAGAAAAGCAGCAGTCTCATCTGCCCTCTTCGGCCAGCGAAAACATTTAGGAACTGATCTGGATTTTTTTGGGCATCTATAAATTAGGTTTCACTTCCCAATCTAATTCTGCACACAAATGCCTGTGCTGACACGGGTGAAAATGAGCAGCCCAAGGGGTGGGTGAAACCCTTTCTTTCAGCGGCTTGGAAAAGCATGGCCTCAGTGCACTAATCCTGGCACTCCATCATTCCCTAAAGCTGCTCTTTACCTCTCCACTTCCTTTTCCAACCAGGAGGTTTCAGTTTGAAGATAAGGCAACACAAACACTTGTAAATCTACCGGAGTACGCAGCACAAACAAAGCCTGGGCTCGAAAACGGGGCAAGCAAAGCGACGAGGACAAGGAACCCCTCAGAATTAAACCAAACCAAACCCAAACCGTCAGGGCTCCACATCTTACAGCCTCCAGCTCAAGCCTGGATCTGCTCGGGAACGTGCCCCGGCTCCCGGGCTCCACGTGGGAGCTTGCAAGGCCTGGCACGGGTGGATCACACAGGCCAGAAACGTGTCCTCGGGCTACTGCTGCCTCCACTCGGGATTTCTGCTGTGCACTGTGGCCAGCGCAGCTACCGAAAAGCGCCAATGGCTCTACACAGCGAGCTCTCCGCAGATTTTAGCCCTCACAGCCCCAAACTTCAATGGAGAAAGATGTGAATCGTGCTGGAGCCAGGTGCTACCGACGCGGGGTTAAGGTCAAGAGGGGTCCCGAACTCTCTCTCGAGCTGGCGGTGCCTGGCACAGCTCGGAGGTGCCAGGGGGGCCCGACCCGCAGCACCCTCGGCAGCGCCACTCGCACTTTGAGGAAGTGCCGGCGGCCCCACGGCAGGGCTGTAAAAGAAACAACCCGGGCTCTGGGGCACGGCTCTGGGCACTGCCGCACTCCGCAGGGGCAGCGCGGAGCCGCCCCCCGTGCCCCGGGCCCGCTCACTCCGGCATCGCCCCGCGCTCCCCGCGGGCGCCCCGCGCTCCTCACCTGCCGCTCCCGCCGGCAGCGCTCCCCTCTCCTCCCGCGCCCTGCGCCGCCACCGCCTGGCCTCTGAGAGAGCCAAGGGAGGAGCGGGGGAGGCGGCCCTTCCTTCCTTCTCCTTCCCTCTGCCCGCCCGCCCGCGGTGGGAGAAGGCGGCTCGGAGCGCTGCCCGCCCCAGCGGTGCTCAGGATCCCCTGCCCAGAGACAGCCCCCCATTCACGGCCCCAGGCCATCGAGCAGCTCCAGGGGTGGCTTTTACACGTTTGAGGCTACCCGGAGAAAATCGGTTTCCGAGGGTGCAATGGCAAAGAACAGAAAAGTGTGTTTGTGAGGTGAGGATGTGTTAGAACTGAGGCACAGAGTAAAAGTGGATTGAACCGACAGGAAGGGGGCAAAAGCTTCTCCATGAGCCAGATTTCCACAGAAAATCTTTATTGCCTTATACACGGTGGTACAGTGATGATGTAAAGGGAAAAACCATATCAATGACAGAAAAGAGAAACAGAGATAATAAAGGAAAAAATTCTTTCAGATTAAGCTCATACCCTGGAAAAAGACTGCAGAGATATAAAGGGCACCCATACCATGGGCAGCAAATGGTTACTCTTATGAGAACTATGAAGTTGTCAAACCACAGATAATATCACAGGATATTTGCTCCCCTAGGCTTGCTCCCTGAGCTGCTCTGATCATGCTCATCTCTTTAGATTGTCTATGCATGCACTTGTCATATCAGCCATCCTTGGAGACAGGCACTTGAGAGCTCATGAAGGCTTCCAGGGCCTTCTGTCACCTGAGGGCACACAGAGGCCTTTAATCACCCCAGCCAGACCCAGCTGGGGCCAATTTCAGGCTTTTTACTTAAGCTCAGGCTGAGGGGTGTTTTATCCTTGAGGTCATGGGGAGTAACTCTGCTTTTGCTGCTCCTTGGCACTGGCTTCACTCAGTGGCTTTTCAGATCTTTGTAGGACAGTTTGGTAAGCTACCTGCTTATTATTGTTTAAATAAAGGTACCTCTGCAGATGAGCAAATAATTTTGTATGGACCATGGGATAATATAAAATTCAGGTGTGAATTGGTTGGTGAACAACCAAGCCTGCTGCTCAGCTCAGAAACACACTCTTGGGTTTTGTTCTCTAAACAAATAAAGCAAAATCACAAGCTCTTGATCGAATTGGAAAAAAATAGTGGTTGGGAGATAATCAATAAAAGTGAAGATGGTTGCTAGGCCAGTCAATAAACATTGACTTTTATCTCCAGGCTGGTCCCAATCCTGACCTCTTTTAATTGTAAGTACTATTTCCCTTCCTAGCTGCCTGTGAACAACCAACTTTAGAGAAGAGATTGTAGAGTTTGATGTCAGCCTGGCCCTACTGTGCCAGGAGGGCTGGGGCTCATGTTCCATCTGAACTGCTCTGGGACTGCTGAAAAAATCTCTGTCTCCTATCTGCCAGATCCCTTGGAGAGGAAAATGCACTTGCTGGATGAAGAAAAAACATCTGGGAAAAGCCAGAAGACAAGAAGGCTGGGGTAAGTTCTCTGTGAATCTAATATAAAGCATTGCAAGGAAATAGGTGGGTTTTGGTCAACACTGATCATACCCCCTGCATCTGAGGCAGTGATGGTTTACATCTGAGGAGTTGCAAATTAGGGAATGTTTCGGAGGCAGCATTTTCATTTTCAGTCATCTTTCAAGAGGCTGAGGAAACCAGATTTGGAGACCTGTAATAATCTCATCCTTTGAGAGGTGAGTGGGGAAAACTGTAATAGAGTAGTAACTTTTCTCTTCCAGAGTTCCCATGGAGAAGGATGGGAAATGAAACCTCCATTTGCAGCTTATTTTCAGTTTATATGCTATAAGTCTCCTATAGTCAGGAATGAGGTTTACTGGATGTAGGTAGTGTTAATTTATTCTTGGGGTTACTCAGCTAAGGCTGAATGGGATCAGTTTAGAGTTTGATTTCTTTTCCAAAGGGTCTACTAAACACCTATAGCTGAGTCTTAGTTGACAAATGTATCGTGTTGGGAACATAGGAGGTAACATGACAAAGGCAGAATAATAAATACTCTACTTTTGGTAAAGTGTGTATTTCTTCTTCCAATCTGTTTTTAATAGCTTTTCTTAGGCCAGTGTCATAAATTATCACCAAGTGATGATTTAATCATGTAAGACTGGCTCTATTGTTGTGTCAATGCTCTTGTTAGAAAACACAATGTCTGGAGAAAAGTTTTCTCTTTTTTTCATAGGCCTCTTGATTTCTGTTATGATTTTTTCTTTACTATAGGAAAAAATGCTCAGTATTTATTTGGGTACTGTTGGGCTCACCCCAGTTTGTGGATGCATCTGTTTTCCAAATTGCCATTCCTCTCCAGCTTGCCTTACTTCTATTCCCTGCGTTTTCCATGCAGTAGCTGTAATGCTTCCTCCTCCTCCCAGAGCAGCATTTCCCACTCGGGGTTTGCCAGGCTGTGGCCAAAGCAGATCTAGAGCAGAGCCACGGGGGATGGGGAACAGCAGCAACTGTGCAAGTGCTGCATTTCCCCCAAGGCTCCTTAGGCACTCAATAACTTCAGCTTTTCCAAGGAATTACCTGTGGGAGTGCTGAGAGTTTGGAGAGCAGTTGGTGAGTTCTCAGTGAAGGGAAAGTTACATAGAGAAGTTTATAAAATATTGAAATGCTCCTGCCAGTACCTGGCACTTTTAAGTTTCCTAAAGCCTTGAAGAAGTGACTGTTGCTGTACTGAGTATCTGGACTTGGATTGCAGGTGAGGACTAAAGCTGAGCAGAGATTGTCAGTGTTGTGTTCTCACATCCTGTAGCTGGTTACTGGACATCTTTCTTCTCATACTGGCATCAAAACCAAAGAGGGCAGGTGTGAAAGAGTGGTGCCCTCTCTCCCCATGGAATGGAGAACTTGTTATTTTGTGATATGATTTCTGAAATCTGTGCTTGGCAGGCAGATGATTTTTGTTGTGCTAAATGTAAGTATATTCCACTTGCTATAGGTAAAGAATTAAAGTGTATGTCTCTGTGTCCCCCCCCATTACTGACAGAAAGATTAATTTGTGCAAACCCTGGCATGAGCACCAGGCACTAGTGACAAAGCTGTTGGGAAAAGCTGATCTGTACCACACAGGGCCTTTGTGTTGAAAATCTGCTCTCTGATAAATGGCCACAGGTGGGAGGTGGCCATGCTTTATCTTTTGGTATCCCTTGGCTGTACTGCTGCCTGGTGGCACCAACAGCCATGGTCTAAATAGCTGAAGCTTTGGAAAAATTCAGTTCCTGTAAAAGAAAAATCTAAGCCATGGGGTACCTGGCTTAAGAGGAACAATAAAAACCCTCAGTTCTTGTTTAGGGGTGTTGAAGCTGCTGTTGCAGATCTGAACTGGGGTCTGAGGGTGATGCATTGGGGTGCCCCTTGATACAGAACTGACCCATAATGAGTCAAGCTCACAGAGGGTGTCTGTCCCCACCCTCTGGGTGTTGGGACTTCTGGGGATTTTAAAGTTTGTTTTGTCTCTGGCTGGCTCATGCTTGAAAAGCACCACACAGTGAAGCACTTCCTTGCCTGGTGCACAGGCTGAGTCACTAACACTGCTACCAAAACCCCCTTCCCCAGGGGGACCTGAGCAGGGTGAGGGGAAGACATCAGAGCAGACCCAGGAGGGAACTGCCCAAAAAGGACCATGTCAGTGAGCATGTTCCCCAGACAGCTGACTGGTGACACACACCTCTCTCATGCTGCTTTCAGCTGAAGCAACAAAGATTTGCAAAGCTAGAGTTGCAAGCAGAACTGTTTTTCATGACCAAGGATGAGCTCATCCTACTATTCAGCTTTTTTACCTTTTTTCAGTCTGGTGGTTGTAAAACAGACCAAAAAAAAGGGTGGTTTAGACTGTCTTTTAGGCTTTTAGAAAAAGTGTGGCTTGGTTGTCAAATCTGTTATGTGGCATAAGATTTTCAGAAATTCTTGGTGTTACCTTTCCTGTGCTCCTGTAAGTCAGGCTACAGGGAGATAGTACCAAGCTAATCTTGAAAATTTTCCTCTTAAATATGTATCATGGTTAAGTAAAGGAAATACATTTTCCTTTTCCACCCTTGGAGGCCAAGCACCTGCTGTGAGGTTGTAAAATTTATGAGTTAAAAGTTGTTAATGCCTGACTGTGTACATAAAAGTTAAAGGCTACAAGAGACAGCATCACATCAAATGGTGGCAGTGGGTTGAGTCTGCATTCCCTGTGGGGTGTTTCTTGAGGATTCTGTCATGTCTGATGGGAGTGTCTTGCAGTTGGAATCTCAGCTGTAGGACCAAGTGAAGAAAGAGTCTCAAAGGCTAATGCAGGATTTGGTACTTGCCTTTCAAAAAACAGCAATGAGAAAGGCTGGGTTCAGAATAATTGTCTGATTACGTGCTGTTATTATAACTATTTTCCTTAGGATACTGGTTCTCAGTTGGAGTGACACTCTGAGATATTATGTAATGCTGGATTGAGGCTATTGGGATGGGAGCTTTTAAGATAAATAGACTCACCTTTGTTTGACCTCTTCAGTTTGAAATTGCTCATATTAATAGTACCCTAAATCATTCTTCATCCTTTTCAGATGCTTTAAATATAACAGCTGTATTTACATGATCTAAACGAAACTGAAAGTTCTGTGTCTGTGCAGATGAACTGAAGATAGTCTTTTGCCCTGAGGAGCTGAAACTGCAATAAGGGGCAGGATGGAATGTAGAAGTGCCTCACTCACTCCGTTCCCAGGGAAAGCAGAGTGGCTGGAGGTTGCAGAGGCTCTGTTGTAAATCAGCTGTTTCTGAGCCACAGGGGACAGACAGAGTTGTACACGTGTCCCCTGCTGCAGCCCTCAGCCTGCGGGGAGCCAAGTGCTGCTCCCTCGGGCAGAGTTTGGGAACACAGCCCTGGGTATCACCAGGGCTCTGCTGCAGGTGGGATCTGAGCTGGCTTCCACCGAGCTGCTCCTGCCTTCTCCTGACCTCTGGGCCACAGCCCTGAGGGAGCAGAGCTGCTGCTGCCACAATTCTCCCTCTGCTGGGCCACAAGTGTGCCCTGGGCCTGGATTAAACTCGTGGGGCTGGGGTGGGTTTGAGGGAAGAGCTCTTCCCTGCTCCCTGCAACTGACTCGGTGTGAGGAGAAGGCAGCAGTGTCTGAGTTGTGCAATGTATCAGCAAACTTGGGATGCTGCTCTGAAAGGGGGTTGTGCAACTTTCCTGAATGAATAATGCCTGATGAAAGCAATGCAAATGCTGTGTTGCCAAATTTGGTTTTGTGCAAATATACTTTTTTTTTTTTTAATACTAGACCCAGCCTTTTAAATATAGAAGCTTTAAATAAGACTTCCCTGTGTCTATTCCTGCACTTAAATCAGCATTTTCCAGAGGCTGAGCAGCACCTGGAGTTCCCCTAAGGCATGTGACTTGTAAAAGCTGCAGTGTAATTAACACTCTGAAAAATCATGTTGCAGATTCATGTGCCTCAGGGTAGGGTTTTTCCCTCTGTTTTTTCATTTTCTCTCCCCCACCCCTTCCAGTCTCTGGCTGGATTACCAACTCTTACAGTTTTATTGTTACCCTTGTGTTAATTCATGTCTCTTAGAAAGCCAGGCTAGACTTTGAGAACAGTGAGGAAAACCTCATAATATGGATTCAGGGGTGTTCTAAACCCATTAGCAAATATTTTATTGATTATTTAGAAACTAATTTAAGGAAGAGTCTTGTCAGTGTGCAGATCCTCAAAACCTGGTGATGTTTTCAATCCTTGAAGTACTGCTTTAAATATTCCTTTGAAAAGGAGCATGCCCAAAACAGCAGTTGTTACAATAGTGGTGTTACTTCATCTCTTCTCTTCTGGCCCTGACACAATGTTGTGTTTCTTGCCTGTGCTTGCTGAAGGACGAGTCATTATTTACTTGCTGTGACAGAAGAAAACAGATTTCTTTGTAAGACCAAGCAAGAGTTGGATACTTGCATATGATCCTTTAACTGCTTTTCTTCAAAGCTGGGCTGTGTTTTTTGTTGCTTTGCAGTTAGAGCTGAGCACTGATAAAAGAGAAACTCCCTAAAGGCAAACTTCTCCCTTGTCCTGACACACTATACACAAATCTCATTGAGTTCAGCCTTTTCCCCTCTACCTGTGGCTGAATCACATCCTGTCACTCACTCATGCAGATCTGTCTGAGCACTGAAGAAATCAAACACTGCAAGATGTGGTCATCTGAAATCCCGGGGGAGCTCCGGATGCCCCAGGTCAGGGCTGGCAGGAATTGCCATCGGAGCCTGCCCAGAAGCCCGGCAGTGCCAGGCACCCAAAGGGCTCTGCTGTTGTTGCTGCTGGGACCCAGCCTGCTCGCAGCCTGCCTGCAGCGGTGCTTTCACCCTCGGAGTTTTACATCTGCTCTGCTGACAAGGTCTGGAGCTGCTGCTGCTGCGACATCTCCAAAGCAACGCAACGGCAGCAATAACAATGGTAATACCCGGCAAGAGCAGCGGGGAGCGCACAGCTGTGCAAG